AGGACCCTGTATGGCATGGAGTGGAGTCACAACACGAGGAGGCGTAAGTGGGTGCATCCCTTTCCAGCAACAGAAGTGGGAAGTAGAGACAGCGACAATCCATTTCCCTATAACAGCATAGCAAGGCGACTGTGACTGGCAAGAAGACCTGGAAGAAATCCAGGCCTTATGCTACCCCACTGTAAGTTCAGGGATGGGAGTCTCAGGAAGTAATTAACCATCTGGAGCTAATAAAGAGACAAGTTCTCTTTATTACTCCACGTTCTTACTGATGTTGTGAACAGGGCACATTTCCTCTACAGATTTATCTTTCTCCAGCTGCGGCCTGGACTAATCCTGTTCCTTCCTTGCCATCTGCTAACAGTCCTGTGATTTGTAGTTCACCTGTTTCTTCTGATGTTTCTTCTGTAGACATGTGCACTGCCAAAAAATTCGTTTCGTTTCGTTTTAAATTCGGATTTGTGTTATTTCGTTTTTCGGGATTCGGGTGTGAAAGTCAATTCGGATTCGGAATTCGGATTCGGACGAAATTCGGTAGCGTTCGCACGAACGTTCGTTTCGTTTTCTGTTCTTATTCGTTTCTTATTCGTTTCTTATTCGTTTCGTTCGTTTGCAGCAAAAGTGACATTTGAGGGGGAAAAAATATTTTTCTCCTTCTCTAATGTCACTTTGCTCCAACGAACGAAACGAATAAGAAACGAATAAGAAACGAATACGAACAGAAAACGAAACGAACGTTCGTGCGAACGCTACCGAATTTCGGAAATGGAAATTCGGATTCGTTTGCATTCGTTATGTCTGTAATTTGGAATTCGGATACATCCGAATGTCCGAATTTACGAAAATTCGTCCGAATTTCGATTCGGAACGAAACGAATCGCACATGTCTATTCTTCTGTGTACTCTTTCTTTCCTTGCAATGTTCCTGCTACTGTCTCTGTACAGTCTGCTCCTTTGGTTAGTCCTGCAGTGTTTAACTCTTACCTTTAACTTAACCTCTCCAATCTTCCACATTTGCAGAAACTTCTTGTAGGGAGGCATATAACTGTAAATGAACCTCTTAGGGTTTAATTTAGTTATGCCAATAAAAGAGATTTGGAGAGGAGATTATGTTGATTTGTTGTCTTTGCTACCAGCTAATAAGTAGTTTGTGTTGAAAGATAAAAAGGAAGAAAGAGGCGTCTACCTACAACTTTTCGCAATTGATTGCAGGCTTTCTGCATTTTTCTCTAGTGTCCTTAGAGAGAAGCATCCTGAACTCTGTACTTGTTTAATAAGGAATATGGACACCTCCTTTATAATATTGTTAGTTTCCATGCAGCAGCCGGGTATTCGGGCGGGTTAACTAGCTGATTTAGGCCAAAAGGTTAATCTTGTCAACAAACAAATCTCACACCTATTTTTTATCAGGTTATACAAAGCTGATCAGTGGATTAAAAGTAAAAGGTTGGAACTGCACCATTTGGATGTTTTAATACAGTCTTGCTTGTAAACAGATGTTTATCAATAACAGCTCCTTAAGCATCTTTCTTTTTGATCTACATTTCAGTTTTCAGTAGTGTTAAACAATTTATCTCTGCTCTGGGACTAAGTGAGTTGAAAATATTATCTCACTCGGTCAGGATTGGTGTCCATTCAGAGAATTGTTTGGTGGGAGTCTACTGTTTCAAGGTATACAGTATGTTTGACCCCCATCTGTCAGTTTATTTATTTTTAAGTTTCTCTCTTAGTTTTTAAGAAAATTGTTTGGAACATTCTTTTGTTTCTAGGCCCACAAAAGACCAATGCGCAGAATATCTACAGAGAATATATCTTTGAATGTTGATGCTTTTCAGATTATTTGACTGGCTACAAGCAGTTTATCATAGGGGAGCATTTGTTGGTGAGGTGAGGTGAAGCTCACTGAGGAGAGTGGAGAGGCAGCTTTTGGTTTTAATGAACCCAGATGGTGTAGGTGGTGGGAATCGGCACCATCTTAAAAGGGTGCTTTGTCTTGGGTGCCATAGAGAGGTACTACGTCACCTTTTAACCTTGCCCTACTCTATCTAAAACTACAAAAACAGTTTTGACTTTTAAAAGTTAAGAATAAGACCTATGTTGCATATATTTTTCAACCACAGCAACATGGATTTGCAAATTTCCACAGCAAAATTATCCTTTTCTTGCTTACAATGTAAAATTCTCAGCACAATGTCCTGTGCTATGGATACATTTATAAATGTCTTCCCTTTAAGAGCCAGAGCCACTAGCCGACACATTGCACAGCTGTCTCTTCTCAATCCCAGCTGTTCTTGACTGAGTTATTGTCACGTTAACTGAGGCATGCTTACACTGCCAAATTAGCTCTGGGCTTGCCTTCATCATCTCTCTGATTGTGATTATCTCTGGTCACGAAAGGGTTAAAGATTGGTATTGTTATTTATAACTAGTCTGCCAGTGATTGCCAAAATACATTTTCTGCTACGTTACTAGGGACTATATTTGCCATTATTCCCCTATACCAGCTATAACTAACAATACATTTTCCATGATAGCACTATACCAGCAGTGAAATTTAATATATTTTGCACTATTCCACTATATTACATGTTAACAGTGTAAGAGGGACAGGCTCAGCTAGTATGGGCAGCTGTAAACCATGAATAAGATAGGGATACCCAGGAACAGTCCAGGTAGGTATTTCCTGTGCTTTTATTCTGCAAGGCAGCAAACAAACACAATTTTAAATGCTGGAGTTATCTGCTAACACTGTTCAGTTCCTGAAAAAAAGAGTGTCCAGTACTGGTACCTGTTTAGAATTCTGACAGCATTTAGCATTTTCCCCCAGCAGCAGGCTCTCACAGAGGAGAGAGAGTGAAAGACTTGAGACAGCCGAGACTAAGGTGTGGCTACCAAGTAAGATGTGGACCTAGGAATGGAGGCTGTATTCCACCCAAAACCTCTACAAAACCTCTGGGCTCCAGGACCCAGAACAGAACTTATTAAGGTTCTGAGAAAACAAGAGTTTGTTTTCTTCACATCCACCATAAACCCTGGAGTCCCTTTCCATATGAATGTGAGAAAACTAGGCGACACATACATACCGTCCACAATTCTGCCTGCCAGTGCTTCAGAACAGCAATATACTTTTTAACTAATCTACTGAGGGTTATAAAAACACTTAATACATTAAGCTATAACAATTGTTATTTGCCATAATTATGGTATTTTCATCAACGACATCAAATGAGAGCAAAACATAAGTCACTTAGCTGAAAAAAACACTTTATGCTTTATGACTTAATAAACCGAGCCTATATTTTTTTCATTTTGGCTTCTTGGGACCAAACTTCCTTTTACAGGCAACATAAATTACACTTGGATTTCAATATCTGGAATGTATAATGCTTGTTCCATGGCCTGTCAATAGCTGCAGAATTCGAATATTCAGACCTGGGAACTTTACAGGCTTCAATTGGAGACTGCAGAATTAAGAACTGGAATCCAGAGTTCCTGGTACACTGGAACTGCCAAATGTCACTGGCAGAACTTCTGCAGGCCTAAGCCAGCCTGGGGAGGAGGAGACCTAAAGGGCTATGCATAGTATTCCATATCATAAATTCACGTAACATTTTTTTACATAACTGGGCAAAGCATGACCGTATCATCATGCTGTCCATGGCGATTTGACCATTACCATCTCTTTTTACCTGTATCTAGTTATTCAATCTCCAACACTTACATAATTCCTTGATTGTCCTTTCTTTTTATGTCCCAATGTTAATTGCTGGGCTATTACTTAAGGACAAAAACATGTCAGATATCCATAGTTTATAATGCTACCATTTAGTGAAACAGATGGGCTTCTGAGGTACATTGTACCTAAAGTACAAGATGCTATCCTCAACCGACACTGCATCTTTCTTCTCACAGATATCTAGTATGACTTCAGGATGTAGTGTTTGTGGTGAACATTCCCCGTAGCTCTAAATCTTACTCTGACATAAAGGGGTTGATTTACTAAGCACATAAACACGCCATGAACACGCCATGCAAAAACACGCCGACTGTACGCGCATGCGCGCATATACGCTTGGCGCAGAAGCGTATGCAGAAGCGTGATTCATGGCGTGTTTATGTGCAGATGCTTGATAAATAGCACAAACACGCGCGCATGGCGTATTACATTTCCAAGGATTCCATGGGGATGTGCAACAACCATGAGCATAATTCCCTGAGGGAAGCCCAGTGGCTCAGGGGTTAGAGCTACTGCCCCATGTCACCGGTTCAAATCCTGCATCAAGTGAGTTGCATTTATCCACATACAGCAATGCAAATATCCACCCAAAAATCAAAACTGTTGAATCTACACACCCAAAAATATAGTAGTAGATATATGCCTACACCATCAATCGAAATGTGTACGTTATTTATATGCTGCTGTGACAGAGTTCAAAATGGTTCATATTCACCTGCGTAAATGGCCCCCCAAATTTCCACCCGACCCAAAAGGGCTGGGTTGGAATTGGGGGGGAACCCCACACCATTTTGTTGGTTGGTTTTCACTTGGAGGATGCTCCCTCCTGACATTCCTTGCAGCCCCAGAGGGTCTGGTATGGATTGGGGGGGCGGGAGCTGACACATTTTTGGGGGTTCATCATCTTGTGCAGAGTGTCAAAATGAAATGTTTAGTATGCATCATCATGCACACACATAGCATATGATGCACATGTACATACAGCTAATGCCTGGTCATATGCGGCATAAACGTGCAAGAGGAACCGTGAGCAGGGTGGGAATATATGCACAAGGCACTGTTGGCAATGTGCAGAACAAATGGTCGTGTATTACACGACACGCGCGTAAGTAAATACATAAAAACGCGCCATGCCTGCGTGAAACCGCGCAATGATGTGCGTGTTAGCTTGGTAAATGCATTTTTGTGGGTTAAAACGCGCACATGCAGCCTGCGCGTGTGCGTGTTGGGCTTCGTAAATCAGCCCCAAAGAGTTCATTCCTGATTAGTACTTCTGCAGCTGTAAGATAAATTTATGACATTTATGTTATGTGTAGGCATGACAAGTATGCCAAGACTTTTTATTAGCCCACTGTTAAGGCTAAGATGTATGGCAAGACAAATTAGATTTTATAATGACGATAATGCTTTTCCATTGATTGCTTGTACAATCCCCATGTCCCCATTATGTTCAAAAAGTCCACAATAAATAACCTAGTATCATAACTCCACCAATATTACAATTATATAGGAACTACACATAATTGTAGCTCAGAAAAGGGATAGATAGATGAGAATAGCATTTTTAACTCTTTTTCTGGTTGTGACAAAGATACATACAGCCCTGGATTCCTCATTATAGCAAATGCTCAGACCATTAAAATCGTAAAAGAAAACAGTCATCTTATAAAAATGGTTCCCAAAGGATGACATAGACTGTATGGATATGCTGTAGGTACTTATGCACTGCAGTCACCCAGTTTGGCCATCTTTTATAAGAAAAATGAATTAGTGCACATTGAATTACTGATAAATTAAAAATATGCTGTAAAAGGTACTTTTATTTGAATGAAAAACACTTTTAGCATGTTCCTTCTCTGGTCCTACCTGCCTTTCAAAGACCTTTTGTAATAGAACATACCCTACAGCTCCACTCCTCCGCTCTAAAAGAGCACTTATGCTTTAATATGATTTAAATTGACACTTATGGGTATATTCTCTAAGATATGCAAAAAACAAAAACATCTTCTTAGGTTGTCGCAGATGGATCTGTGAAAGACTCTGATGGAGTTCTATGGCTTACTGCCCTGTGTGCAATATTACTGTACCATCATAATAAAAAATGGGTTCTTACTAACATTCATACATTACATACATATACAGTGTTTTCTATCAGTGCTACCCGTACACATGCAATCATATATTTACACATACCTGTAAGGTGCCTTTTGGAATTTTGTATGTATTTTCTATATTTCCATTTTCTTTACCTTTCGCTGTAAAAACAATACAGTTTTTTTTCTTAACCAGAAATCAGTTTTAAAATGTAATTTAACAAATCATTAACCAAGATTTATTTAGTTATTTCATCATTTCTTTCATGGAAAACCCATTTTCTAACCAATGGGACTAATGTTTCCCCTAAGAGTGATAAGTCACCTCTCTAGACATTAGATTGTCATCATAGCCAACCACAAATGGCCAGATCAGAACAATGCCATCTCATATTGAAAAGCTGCATTTCTTATTGGCATGATATACAGTATGTACACACAGATATACAGTATATCTATATGTATAGATATATATAGACATATCTATATATATATCTATATATATATCTATAACTTTCCTATAAGATTGTTATTTAAAGTATGTGTAAAGCAAAGCTGGCAAATGTTTCAGCATTACTTCTCTTTATATAGTCCATTGATTGGGGATTGTAGCTTGGAACAGAGCACATTTGTTCTGCTGGATGATAAATTACCTGCCTATAAAAAGAATTCTGACAGGCATAATAGACAGTATAAAGTATACTAACTCTGACACTTGTCATAAGTCCCCATCTCACTATGTGAAACAGTCTTTCACATATAAAACATTAAGAATGCATAGATGTGAAGCAGGCAGCACAGTCAGTATACAGTAATATTTCCTGGCTTTTAGGCTTGTTCCACTACTTGCTAAGAAGAATAATACCGTCTTTCTAATACATTGAGTCCATATATATTTTACAAACAAATATGAAAGGGGACACACTGATGCTACTTACAACTGGTCTTGTGATTTTGAGGTTTACTCCACATTTCTTCATCTGAGTTATCTTTCACACCAAATTCATACATAGTGTTTGGCTTTAGATTGTCAACTACAGTTTCAGTTGTAGGACAAAGCTGGAAATTCCAGTCCTTATTTTTTTCTCTGTAGCGAACTGTATAAAATCTGTGTGAAAATGTGTGCAAAATTAGATGTAAACACATAAGCAATAAAGTCATACAATTTAGAATTAAATTTTCCCCTGATATGCTCTCCCCTGGTATTACAAATATGTAAAACAATCAGTCTATTACTGTTCCTTAAACTTTACAGATTCAATTATAAAACATGGCTCAGACTGTAATGTTTGCCATTTCTTCCAGGCTGCTTTCCTTATTACAACAGTCATCTAAGTGCTCTATTTATTCAAGCGAGGGAGGAATTTATGAACTTGTTTGCAACAAAATGTTTTGTTGTAAAGACCAAAATCTCATGCTAACCACAAAGTTGTATCTCTATTTTGCCCCTTTTTCAAAGTGTTCTTGTGACATATTCATGTTTGTGACTCACAGTACGTGTTTTTTGACATTTCTCATAATTTCTCAACTGCACAGTAATTATGTCCAGCATTTGCGACATTAAAATCCCTCCAAACTATTGCACATCCTAGAAGGGCTTCTGAGCCCTTCTTAACGTATCGCAAGGATAAATCAGCTATATACTCTCAAGTCATCTGAGCACTTCGGGACTATTCAGCTGTCATCCAGGAGGTTCCTTGCAAGCTTGTGACAGTTTGGAGACAGTTTAGAGACCAATTGTTAAAGATGTCACCAGCACACCATATTGAAGTGAAGAACACGTCTGTTTATTGACGCTTCATGTCAAAACAAATAACAATGTTTCAGGGCCACACAGGGTCCCCTTCATCAGGTTTGAAAACTTAAGAAGTGCCACACAAAGAAGAGTACGAGTGCTGATACTTTTCCTCAAGTACTCACCGATACCAATTACTGATACTTTTTTTAGTGTCATTTGATAGTTTTTCTAAAACATTGCAAACTAATGATTTCAGGACAGTGATGGAGCCCCATGGCCCAGTTGCAGCTGTGACTGTTGCGACCCTGGTAGTTCTGCCACTGACTCCAAGCTGTAGAGGGTCTACAAATCTCAGCAATACATAATATAGCAATGAAGAATACCACCAGCTATAGAGGTACTAACAGGGGCGTCCCTAGGCGTGGTGGCACCCGGTGCGACCGCCAGGTGACACCCACTGGGACGTCATCACACATGTGTATGACATCATTGTGCACACACAACATCATTATGCATGAGTGTGATGTCATCATGCATGTGTGTAATGAGGTCACGCACGCTTATCTGCCGGCAGCCATCTTGGTGATGGATGCCGGCAAAGAGAGGATGGGATGTTCACCCAGCGGGATAAGGTATGCCATGACCAAGTGCCTGACTTTTCATACGGGGTGACACCAAAATAACTATCAGTCATTTTGGAGTCACCCGCTCTGATGGTGGCACCCGGTGTGGACCGTACCCTCTGCACCACCCTGGTGACACCACTGTGTATACATCTCAGCAATACATTATATATCAATGCAGAATGGTACTGGCTATAGAGGACTACAATTCCCAGCAATACATTATAAAGCAATGCAGAATAATACCATTCCATCCATACCCCCCTATAGTCATCAGAACCCCATACATTCCACCTACAGACATCAGATCCTCCTACAGGCAGCAGACCACCCTACATTTCCCCTATAGGCAGCAGGCCCGCCCTACAGGCAACATATCCCCCTACATTTCCCCTATAGGCATCAGATCCCTCTACATCCACCATATAGGCAGTAAATCCCCTCACAGGCAGCAGATCCCCCTATATTACCCCTATAGGCAACACACCCCCTCAATCCACTCTCTAGGCTCGGGTACCTACCCTTCAGGATATACTGATGACAATGTGAGCCTCCTTCTTCCTTCCTTTAGCTACACTCATCCAGTACCACCACTGACACCTGTGCATCCCGGAGCCTGCAGTGGGCCCTCTCTTCAGGCAATAGGAAGTGCAGCTGGTTCCTAAGAAGGCTGCTGTGTGGTCCCCAGCAAGAGCGGGACCTGAGGCAGCTGCTTCATTTGAATAATTAAAATGCTGGTATTGTTTTTCGGTATTGGAGAATTTGCACGAGTACGAGTGCAAATGCTCAGTACTGCATCGGTACAATACTGGTATCAGTGCATCTCTAGTCAATATGAAGAGAAAAACTTCCTGCACTAGAGTAACCAAGAAAAACTAATTAAATAAAAAGGTTGCATTACAAGCTTTGTAAGTATATGATCTTTTTCTCTCAATCATTTTAAATCTAAGAGATGAAGCAACATAGAAATGAAGATGATTTAACATGAATGGGGCAATAACGGTACATACATAAGGATTTATTTTGTTTTATTACATCTAATATGTATCTAATTATAAATATATATGCATCATCTATGTAAAACCAGAGTTTTGTTTGCATTTTCATTACTTCATAGTATATAGTACATTGGGTCTGTTAACTTGTATGGTTAACATGGAGACATCTGTCTAAATTAATTTACTTAGAAAAGTAAACATACATTAAAAAAACACAGACTGGCAATCCTCCACATGTAAAATAAAACAACAAAACTTGACATTGATTGCCAAACCTATTGTTTATAAGCATCACTATCACTGAAACCTGCAGTGCAGAATTTGTCAGGCTCTCTTTACAGACGGTGAGTCCTATAATCTGAGTCGGCCCGGAGCAAACTGCCTTGCCACTTGTGATTACTATGCTCTGGCAAGATGACATGTTCAAACATCAACAAACCCTTGTCAACATTCTGACGACTTACACAATAGCTTCAAGGATGGTTAAACGTGTATATTAGCCATGCAGGTTACAATGAATATCCAGCTAAAGCCATACGTATGTGATTATAGGAAAACAAATATTTAGGAAGTCAGGAATGTTTTGCGCTTTTCCTACATCACCTGGATGAAATGAATTTTACAGCAGTTTCCATAGCAAGAAAACAGAAGCCAAACAGAACCTCCTGGTCATAATTGTGACAAAGCCAGTTAAGAAATGCTTTCAAAACACTACAGTGCTGCAGAGGAAATCTGTCATACATTACTAATGAAATAATGTCGACAAACATATACTCTCAAAAGAGATGAGCGCTTCTGGCAAAATTCAGAATTGTTACATTTCCAGTCTAGGCTCAGAAAAGATACAAAAGTGATGCTAAGTGATTTACACAATGTAATTACGTGTGCAAAATGATAGGGGCTAGAAACTCATTTTAACTTTAAATAACTAAGTAAATAATGAAGTAAATCACTATATATATGACAAATCTTTTACATTCGCCATGGTAGCAGACCAAAACATGCCTAAAAGGAAAGAAAAACATACAGGGGGTTATTCACTAAGCTACTGAAAGCATCCAAGTGAATAACTGAGCCGAAGTGAAGGGAGCCAAAGCCTGTTTGGCTATTCAATTCAGCCCTGTATGGCTATTTTCAGCCGTACATTGGCTGGCTTCGGCTTCCTTCACTTCCCTTCAGTTCAGCGCCAAACAGCCTCAGCACATTCGGCTGAACAGAAGTGAAGAACACATTCGCCTCAGCCAATCCAAAATCAGAAATTCACTCGCTGCTGTTCACCCCTATTCTTATAGGGGCTGAACAGTAGAGAGTAAATAGCATGGCAGCATTTGGCTCGAACATTCTGTTCGCCACCTCAGAGGTAGCGAACAGAATAAAGAATTACAGTGTAAACAAAAGAAAAGAAAAACAAAATGGGGTGGTGCCCCCCTCTCAAACCATAACAGGCCCTTTAGGTCTGGTAGAAATGTTAGGAGGGACCCCTGAGTTTAAACAAAATGTGTGGAGTTCCCACCAAAAGTCATACCAGATCTTTTAGGTCTAGTAGGAATTTTAAGTGGGAACCCCAACGCCCAGACATGGCAAAAAAAAGTGGGGTCCCCCTTAAAATTCCTAACAGACCTAAAGGGACTGGTATGACTTTTAGGGGAAACCCCACACATTTTTTTTAACTGGGGGGTCCCCCGTAACACTACTACCAGACCTATAGGGTCTGGCATGAATTGGGAGGGGACCCCGCACTGTTTCTTTAAAAATTATTATTCTATTTTTTTACAACTTGCGGGGACAATAGTCCGCTTTGGCAAACTGTTCTCCCTGCTTTGGCTGTGTGTATGGCTCAAACGAGGCAAAAATTAGTACTGCTCAAATGAGGCAAAAATGAGCAGCTAACACTTGCAGTGTCAGGGGCTAATAACATTTCTGCCTGGGGTTCTTCTTTAAGGCAGCCCATTTATCATGAATAACACAAAGGATATAGCTGAGTAAGGAGGCTGCCTTCTTAGCCTTCCTGTGGCCTTAAAAACTGAAGATTTAGGAATCACGAAGGAGGAGAGAAAGTTGAACACTTATCTCTAAAGCTGGCCAAACACAGTCAGAGTTTGTTTTAAATTTGATCTGTCAGATTAATAAGCTTTATTGCCAGCAACATTTTAGCATAAGGATTGACCTATGTGATTCATTCTAAAAGTATCCAATCAGGTAGACAAATTAAATCTGATACAAGATCTGCCTGTAGGCGGCCAGGAAAGGCTTATTTACCTTGGTAGAGAGCTAACAAGAACAGGAATAAATCAGAGCTCAATGCCATGCTTTGTTCAAGCGAGTGGTTGTCTACCTCAATAGGACAGAAGTTCACATTTTAAACGTTTTGTAATTCAGCCATTGAGGGCCTCTCATATTTTATCTAAGAACCCTAAACTGTCAGCATTAGACATTTCCTAGCTATATCCTGAGCTGTGATTGTCTACATTCCATATAGACATATTCCAGCTGCTAGCACCTCTGCTCGTATGAGCTTATTTATATGACAGTTTACCACACTAGTGCTGTACATTGTCCAGCACTCCTAGGCATGGCCAATTTTAAGCACATTTACCTGTCATTCGGACATTTGCTGAGAGCAGACCAGTCAATTTGTGGATTTATAAGGATTCCCCATGAAAGAAACACGGATGTGGGTGTAAGTGTGCCAACAACAAGATGAAGAGGTTTCTGAGATGAATTCTTTTCTGGGTGAACAAAAAGCAGCAAGTTAGTCCTCATTCTAAACTAAGTGGGGAAATTGAATAAGTGCAGTAAAGACAGTGAAGATTTAAAAGGAATAGTAAAACTGCATTTTTACCTGTTAATGATATAACATGATTTCTCAATGTTAGGTTTTATACACAAAATGGCACTCAATATGTTATTTAGAACAGAATATTTGTTTTTAAAGTTGCTTAAAATGAACATTTTAAGATAGCAAAATAGGAGCAGACATTGCTGACTGTTTTTTGTGAGGAATAGGCTCTGTCTTGGTGATTCTGGTCCTGGCTTCTTTAACTAGGTAGTCACAAGCCTATAGCAATCTCTAACAATGGAATAACTGCCAATGTCTTTTTTGGACACAGATAAGAACCTCTTTCAGGGTTTTGTTTTGATGTATTCCTGCCGGGGTCAATTCTGGGCAGGTCAATTTAGGTTCCATGTGGCATAACTGGTTATGTACCAAATATGGCAAATGCTGTAATATGTGTTATATTTTACATGCACTGGGGAATGGCCAAGGAATCCTTTATGAATTTCTCCAAGGAGGTTGCAATCTACTTGCACTCCATGGACGGACAGGCACATTGCATAAAAACCACCTCTATGCCAACAGCACCTCTGGGCACTAGATGTGTCTATGAGCGTAGAGCCTATTAACATCAGGCTATGTTTGCTATGAGAAGGATATTCCTTTTTTGATGACCCCTTTCAAAGCACTAGCACAATATATAAGCACATGAGGAATAGTCTTAGCATGGCAGAGGATCCCTGGCTCAGCGCCCACTTGCCATGAGGATACCAGCCCACATGCATAAAATATAAAGTCGATTGTCTGCTTCATTTATTGTCTTTATTTAATGAAGTCCTTCAGTGGTATCAGTAGTAGATCACCTATTGCCTTTTTGATTTGTTTTTACAGCTATATTGTGTGCTACAATGTGTATTAAATGGGGTATAAATCATCAAAACATTACCTTTGCATGTCTTTTCATTTGGTTTCACAGCTATTAAATATCTTGTCTCTGCATCTGAAAACATACAAAAAAAAAACACAGAATGTATAACCTGTGCATAACACTGTTTTTCAATAAAAGAACAATATTTATCTTAGAAAAATGATTTATTTGATTACATTAAACAGTTTGCAATTAATAAGGGAAAAAAACAAATCCGACACATTTTACTTAAGACTATTAAACTATATGTCATAAAGGACTGAAAAAGATCTGACTCCTTGTATGGAATTGCGCAATGGTTATATCGATTTCTGAGGTGCGGTTTTGCATATCGTGAATATGCAGAAACATTTGAGTTTCTCCACAGAGACCAAAGATCTCCCAGTCTTCTGCATTTTCCTCTCGTGCTCCAGAGTTTTAGCATAGTCAATCGGAGGGCCAAAAGACAAATTGCCCATGTGTACAGACGTTAAAGAGTCCCTGTTGCTAGACTATTCATTTCAGCAACAATCTTCCCATAAGATTATACTGTATGTGCATTTAACATTTTTGCTGTGTGAATAGGAACACATAAACATAGTGGGGGGAATTTATCAAAGCACTTGCGTCACTTTTAGCCTCTTTAATCATTTTTTTAATGTGCAAATCTGTCTTTCAACATGTGCCCTTGTTTTCACCTGAGCTTGCACTACTTTTCCAACTGCACGTGTTTTGCACCTGTTTTCTTCAGAGCGTGCACTACTTTTTCAGTTGCATGTTTTTTGCACATTTTTTACACGTGTTTTCATCTGCACTTGTTCTGGGCTGTCTGAAACTGGAGCATCACCTAAGAAAACTGTCACAACTTAAGAAGTCCCCATGACCACTTCTTCAAGATCAGACAGTTAAGCTTTTGTCTGAAGTTAGAAGTCTTCTTTCCTGGAGTCTATTAAACCTCATTTATCAACAACATTACACTAGCTTGATAAATCTGGTGCAAATATATTCTGTGCAAGTTCAAACACGTGCAATTGCTATGATAAATTCCCCCCATAATGTGTTTTTTGTATTTTTTGCCAGATGGGATTTAATCAGTGCTTAATTAAAGACATCGTACTAAAAAAGAAAAAGGATGTGGAAATACACTTTAAGCTTTATTTATCTTTGCCTCGTCTGTATTAGTGCAGACTTCAATTCATTGCAGACTACTGGCAGAATGTATACAATTATTGGTAAAACCACTTGGTTTTCTTAATCTTTCACACTGAAGAATGCTTGTGGAGACTGGTAAGGACTCAATTTTTACATACATTCCTAGGCATGGTGCAAGTGTGGTCCCTTTTAGTTCTGTCAAATTTTAAGTTCACCAAAAATCTTATTTTTCTTTTGTAAGGGGTTGATCTGGTTGATCAGCTGGTTGATCTACTACCTGGCTTCTTCTATCTCTAAATGACTCATCTGCAAGATCTCCCCACTAGATATGTAAGTTTTGTTCGTTCCGAATGCAAATTCGGGCCAAATTTTGTGAATTCGGACACTTGGATGTATCCGGATGTCCAAATTCTAATGAGGCCGAATGCAAACAAATCCAAATGCTATTTTAACTAAATTATAAATCATCCAAATGATCAAATTTGCCATGCTAGTAACAGGATGTTCGTCTCAGACTGCATGTCTTTGATGTGATTGTCTCCTGATGTTCTCACAGTGCAGATAAACCGACAGGCTTTGTTAGCACCGGCTGTTTGTGAGTACATTTCTTGCTTTTAACATTTCGACTTAAAAAATACATCTACACTAGAGAGGCGCACTATTCTTTTGTTTCCTGAATTATTCAAATGTTTACATTAAGTAGGATGTAGCAAGGAGAGACTTTTTATACCTGGTTCCATAATGGATGAGCCAGGGGTAGGGAACTCTGTAGTGAAAATCTTTTTTTAAAACCCTAAGAGATATATGTAACCAGTAGGAGATTCAACCCAACTACCAGCTACCAATGTCCACTCAAACCTGATGACAACAGTCAAAACATTAAAGGAGAACTATGAGGTGAGTGATTTTCACTCAACCTCATAGTTCGAGCTGACGTGTGACAATGAAACTGTCACACGTCGGCTCAATAGATCGGGAAGTGAGCGAACACATACCGTCGCTCGCTCACTTCCTCGATTCCCCCCTTCCCTGTCCGATCCTCCAGTGCTGACTGGAGGAACGAAGGAGGGAGGGGGCCGGTACAGCTGGCTCTGCCTGTAGATAGGCAGAGCCAGCTGTCAATCACGCAGCTGGGTGTATCTCGACAGTAATGTCAGGATCCGTCCCGGCTGCGGTGGTCTCAGTATACCGCAAGCTGTAGCTCGCGGTATACTGAGCTTTGGGTCACGGGAGGATGCTAGTTTATGTCCTCCCGTAACCCTATGGAGAACTATGGGGAAAAGCACTGACCCCATAGTTCTCCTTTAACCAAAATGTCCACCCTAAATCTATTTCTATAATCTTATTCTAATTAAAACATTCTTTAGAAACAGAAAGTGGTGGGAAATCCAAAATGTATTCCCATTAAAAGAGGAGAGGGTAAATCTTCAAATTGTGATGCCAGTTTTTTTTGACTGTATTATAGGGGAATTCTACTCACTGCAGAAATGTATTTTTACTTCCTGTTGTGTCTCCATGAGAGGAAATGAAAGAAAATCTCCTCAAAAGGACACAGACTCAAGCAAAAAAATAACCTGAGAAGGGTTTTTTAACCATTCCTTTCTTTAGTCAAACAAACAAATGCTTTGGTGATACTTTACAATACTGTATTGTTAATCGTACTATAAGCTTTCTTCACTCTCTCAGTACATACATTTGTAGAATATAAGAAAGCATGCAATTTCTGTAGCGTACATGTTCTTAGGTATTAACATAGGAAAGAAAGAATCAGTTCCATTGATTTCAGAGGATTTAGTAGGAGGTGAATGATTCTATACTATAACAGTGCTTACAGCATCTTTAAAAGAGGTTTTAACAACATGCTTATGTTTGCTATAAAAGACACAAGGATACTGAAGCATCACATAGAAGAGTGTGTCTTAAGAAATGTGTAAATAATGCTCCAAACAATTCAAGTTGTGCCTTGAGAGGTTTCAAGGAATATTAGGGATATTCATCCACAAGTTCTCCACATCATGAAGTATCTTTGTAATGATTACGAGGTCTGACAAAAAAAAGCTCAGTGGGAAGATTCTGACAAACCAAGCTATACCAAACACAGTGCTTCCCTTATTTCTTCAAAATTCGGGTTGATAATAAAGATCAGATTTAAATCAAAGATTTTTATTGATTTTAATGTAACATGACATTTTTGCAAAGACAGTGGAAACGTGATTACAGCGTACAGCACGCAGTGCAAGGGAGTACAGAATGTATTGGGAGAGGCACAGCTCTAGAGTTAAACAAAATGACAGGTATCGCTGGTGTAGTAGGCTCGCCCGTCGAGTTGATCAAGTTTGTGTCAGGGTCCACCTGAATACTGAGGAGCCCGGCAAACTTACAGGGTTAGATTTAAATGTTTTGTCTGTAGTTGCTAGGTAGGGAACTGACATCTTTCATAAAAATCTCCACTAAAACAACCAGCTCAAGAGAGATCAGGATGAATCAAGCAGATCATCTTGAATAACCTTCATAAAACGTGGCTACGCTAATGTACAAGAGAATAACAATTAAACAGATATCAAACATGGCTATGCTATAATTTCCAGTAGGAAAATTGATTATATTATATCTCTTAAGTGATATATGTATCCAATTTATATCCTGTTTGGTCTTTTCAAGTTGTCATTTCATTCTGTTCAAGAATATGTTGGTTGTCATCATGTAAAACCTTGTCATCATGTAAAACCTTGTCATCTGGAAATATGGATACAGTTGAATAATTGGCTATAATGGAACATCAGCTGAAGTATAATAAATCACTCCAGCATTCCTCCATCACACCTCTTAGCTCTTTTGATTGGGTGGGGTTGGCTCAGCCACACCCTCTAGAGGTTCAACAAAAAACTGCTGTTATTGGCAGCTGTATTGTCTCGATTTATGAAGGAATGCTGAGTCATTTATGAGGGCAAGTGACTCTATCAGATTGAACTACTTTGCAAACTAGGAATTAAAGACCAGGCAAACTATGTTAAGTACTTTTTACTTTTACGTTTAATCATGTTTATTTTGCTGTTGGTTATTTTCTGTTTTTGTAACACCATTTCTGTAAATATTTTCTTGTACCATTTTCGTTTTCCTGTTATTAAAACTATATAAAAATATGATTAATCTGAGTCTCTAAATGCTTTAAATAAGAAGTTAAAATTACTTGCCTCTGTGAGGGGTGCCATATTTTAAACTCTGTTACATTCCTGTCTGGTAATGGCAGTCTGTGTCACAGACATTTCTTAAAGGTTAGAATTACTACAACAAATGCTGTGAATGGTGTGTTTCTGTTAAAAGGCATGGTGGCAGCTACTGTTTGTTTGTAAAGGGTTAACTGTGGCACTTACCCACTTCAGTGATGATCACTCTTGCACAGGGTTAAAGTGAAAGTGCAATACATCACATCCTGACAGCAGTGGTGGGAACTGAGACTGCTGCTTTCATATTCTGCTGGCAGTGGTGGGATTACTACCGCCATCACAATCTTCACTCTTGTTTTTGCAGTAAAGTATTTGGTGAAAACTTGCAAAAGGGGTTTTTGCTGTCTGTGCCCTCTCTGGGGGGTGGGGGGGGATTCATCCTCTCCTTTTGTACTGGTAACCATTGTAACTGATATAGAAAGTGATGAGAAATCCAAAATGTGAGAGCTGTCACTAGAACAGGCATTTAGGGGAAATCTTCCAATAAGGACACCTGTTCTGGTGACAACTGTCTAAGAATGTAATTCCCCTCACTTTGAAGACATTTCCTCTTAGATCCTGTTGTCTCTCTAAGACAGGAAGTGAAGCTAAATCTCACTGACAGGGCACAGGCAGCAAAAAAACTGAAAGGGGTCTGACCCTTTCTCCACTCTGTCCAAATTGTTTTAAAAATTGCTTTCATGTACATTTTAATACATTAAAATCAATCCTCTA